TAATAAGATCCTCCGGAAAAGGGCACTTTTTCCGGAGGATCGGGGCCAGTGTAGACGCTCTTTTCCGGCTTTTCTAAAAGCCAGAAAAAAGCAGCGGACATTTTTATTTAAATGCCGCGGGGGATATTTAAATCCCCTGCGGATTTCCCTATTACGATCTGAAAAATTAGCATGCCCCTTCCGGAAAAGGGGCCAGTGTAGACGTAGCCCTATTGTTTTGCTTCTTGGTTCCGGCTTTTCTAAAAGCCAGAAAAAAGCAGCGGACATTTTTATTTAAATGCCGCGGGGGATATTTAAATCCCCTGCGGATTTCCCTATTACGATCTGAAAAATTAGCATGCCCCTTCCGGAAAAGGGGCCAGTGTAGACGTAGCCCTATTGTTTTGCTTCTTGGTCCCTACTTCTCAATTGTTCATCTGCATGGTCTCTGGTTCTTTGTTTCTCTCTGTGCATAACTAACTTTGCAAGGTTTAAATCAACTAGCATACTGGATCTGATTGGTTAAAGAGTTATTTTGCATTGTTAGGATTAGTCAAATAATTATTTTGTGATATTATAGTAAAATGATTTGTTACAGTGTAGCTAAGCGGCACTCTCATTTCATTATATAAACTGGGGTCCAAGAAAGACACCAGTGGGGGGGGAGGGGAGGCAGAAATAATAATAAGGAAAGGCCTGAAAATATTTCTCAGGGAACATTCTAAAAAATAATCAGAGGAGTAGCCGAATTAGTCTGTGACTGGAAAAACTTTAAAAAAATGAATAGTCTAGCAGCACCTTAAAGACTAACAAAACATGAGCTTTTATGGGTACAACCCACTTCTTCACATTCTCAAAGCAGAGTGCCAGGACTTGGAGTCAGCTAGATGACCCCCCATTAATCTCAAAAAGAGCCAAGTGGCTACGTCAATCCCTTAGGTATCTCTCTGAAAATGACCCCTCTAGTTTTTGAAGGTAGCTTACATAAATGTGACAAGAATTGGCTGGCAACATTCAATCTAGTGGCCTAATTCAAAGCCCTCTGACATCAATGCAAATATTTCCTTTTCTATCACTGTGGTAGCCAGACCTGCATTCTTGGCTAAAATAAGTGTACATACATGAGATTCAACCAGAGCTTTAGCATTACATACTTACTTATCTCCATTTTTGGAGATGTTATTATCAACAAATGGGATTTCTTCTCTCTCTGTCTTCCCCAGTACAAGGTGATGCTTTTCCATATTTATGACACACTAAAATAATAATAAATACTAATGTAAGAGGTGAAATAAAAAAATCCATAATGATCCCCTCAGGAATAGTAAAAGTACAAAAGGATACACACAGAGATATCCTACCTTCAGAGATTTCAAGGTCTGAAGCCCTAGGGAGAAATGTTTCTCATTGTCTTCTGTTTTAAAACAAAAATCAAAATTAACAATGATCTATTGTAGTCTTTGCAAATATCTCCACTTTTTATGGAAAGACATTCAGTAAAATACAGATAATTTACTAGAGGGACTGAATGAGTCTAGAGGGAAGTAGACTACAGAGCTTCTCCCCTCTAGGTCTCCGTTTGACAGTGACCCAAAGTGGAGTGACTTAAAGTTGCTACTGCCTGCTCAGGCCCTGCTGTGAAATGGGTTTGGTGGCTTTCATCCAATTCCTAGTGACTGGATTTTCACAGCACAAAAGAATCATCTTTGTTTGGCAGTCACAACATTGCCCCCAATGATAGACTACACCGTGAACGCTGAACTATTCCCAGGCCAAAGACAAGATACGTTATTAGCAGGGAAATACAGGGACTCTTACATGCTGCTGCTGCCTTTAGGGTACCTATTCTGTGGATACACAGAGTCCAGCTGTTGATCCAGCAATAAGTTCACTTTAAACATAAGAATGAAAGTTTTTTTCTCTTCTTATTAAAGATCTCTATTTTTAAAATGGACAAACAGCTTCATATTTGTTGTTGATGAGCAAAAATGAGCACGCTACCTACTTTGTAGTAGGGATGTGAAAGGTTAACTGGTGGGAGCTGGAGCAGCTCCCTACCCACCGAGGGCAGGGGGCTGGTTCAGCACCACAGGGCTGCCACGGGGGCGGGGCCGCTCTGGGCATCCACAGCAGCCCTGGTTTGTGGCGGGGGGCTGGCCCCGCCTCAGCCCCTCCCCTCCATTGG